GACATCAGTGCCACCAGAGTGCTTGGATGAGGATCAACCATGCCTGCAAAAAAGCTAGCACAAGGATATCGACGGGTAGAACAACGAAGCAGAGTTCCCAGCACTGCTGTAATCATAGTTGCGATTACAATATGCTACGACACGACGATGCCTAGGATTGCCAAACTCACCAGTCCACTGACAGGTCCGTATGTCTATCGAAAGCTTTTTATCAAGATTCTCTGCTGCAACTCATGTTGGCACCCATCGGGTTGGACAGGGTTGGGTTGTGCTTCATGAGTCTGGTATTGTGGTGTCAATGCTGAGAAAAAACACTGAAAGCCTTACTCTCTGGCAGGGCTGCTCAGCCTCGGGTCCTGGGAGTTTCGGGGCCTCGGAAGAAGGAGAAGAGCGGAGTAGCCAGAGTGGCTTTAGGAAGGTCCGGGCTTATGGGCTGTTTGGGAAGCCGTGAAGTCCTGAGACGTTTTTTAGCTGAGCTGCAGGAATCACAAGACGAAGTTAGCTTATCCAACGCTCAGGATGGAAGTTCTGACAGTTTGAACGGCATCTCGGCTGCGTTTGGCACCGGTTCATTTCGTATGCAGTTGCAGCTTGCTTGGCTCTTGAACACACGAAGACGAGAAAATACCTGCAGTTCCGCCAGTTCGGTCCGCCTTGGGTGTGTTTTCCCACAAAATCCTTCGCTTCCGCCCTGTTCGGCCAAGGCATCTACAAGTGAACTCAGGCATTCTGCAGGCAACTTGTTTGTTTTGCCAACGTGGTCGGGCGAGCGAAACCCTGGCAAAGGCCGTGTGTGGGTTTTCTAGACCAGAAGCCCCCAAAGTCTCCCAAGCTATAGTGGTGTTAAAGGGGCCTGACCCGGGATCAGGTCTGGCTTGTGACGTTGCCAGGCCCATTTCAAGCAATTGTAGATCGCCTGGTCCTGACTGCCTACAGGGGCGATTTCCTTCTAGCACTCTGCATTCGGCTCCAGGTTGCAGGATTGTGGTTAGGCCTCATATCAGGGCCAATATCAGCCTGACAAGAAGACCTGGCTCTGGGCTGGGGTCCTCAATGCTGGGACTCTGCCCAGATTGCCGAACTGCACGAGAAGGAGAAGCGAACCGAGCCGCGAACACGCGGTTTTCAGGCTTGACATGTGCAGAGTTCCGATCTTTTCCATTGCGAGTGCAAGGAGTTCTGCCTGGAGCAAGACAAGTCTTCACATGTCAAGTTGCAGTCAGGGGGCCACGGCTGTTCCCGGCGATCTCTACATGCTTATTGGGGTTTTTGTGGCCCTCACTGTCAGCTTCGAATATACATGTGTATACATATATATATATATATATATATATATATATATACATACATATACGTATACATAAAGACTCCAGGAAGTGTTCGAACTTCCGGCTTTTCAATGCAAGGAGGTGAAATATTCATGTGGGCGAAGGGCGCCTATCATAAGGGGTCACAGTCGTCGGGGAGCAAGGAAGGCACTCGTAGCAGTGGTGCCCATGAAGCTTTTATGAACCAGGGACAGCTTAAGATTCTGGGTCCATTGTAGTGACTTTGGCCAACTAGTTCCCACAGGGTCGCCGGCAAGCATTGCGAGCTGCTCCTGCAAGAGTGCAGGTGCAGTTTCCCGAAATAAGTGGTCCTTTCGACACCAAGTCACAAAAGAAAGGAAGGACCATTCGTTCAAGGCGTTTTTGAAAGCCATGGGCAGCCTTATCGCATTTTGTTGCAGCACAGATCGGGGCTTCTCCCAGGCCATCTCATCATTCCCCGTGAGTTCGAGCAAAGCAGCTCAACTGGCGAGGATGGGTAAGGTTCTCTCCATTCATGCTTGATCCCGTTTGGGGGTTTTCTCAAGTTGTAAAATAGCTTCCAGGGACTAGCTCGCCTCCGGCCTTTGAATAGTCCGGCGGGGACTCAGCACAGAAGCTGAGACGCAAAGTCACGGACTCAACGCATTTCCTTCAATGCACCCTTACGTTCCCAAAAGGTGCACCTGTCAATTTCAGCAGTGTGAGACACACTCTCTCCAGGATCCGACGATTCCAGATGCAATGGTTACGTGAGCATAAGGAAACGCATAGTTCCTTATTTCTTGAAGGAACGTGGCTTCCGTAAACTCTCAGGATCCTGAAGTTAAAGGGCGGCGGGTCTTACGCACAGCCACGAAATTCAATAGACGGTGAATGCAGGGAGTCTAGAGTCTAGCTAGGACCTCAGACTTTCCAAGCGGATCCACTTGCAGAGTCGAGGAGAGGGCATGTCGCCAGCGGCATATCTCCGCAAATGCCTTCTGTGTGCGGTGCTCCCTAGGGCTTAAGGAAGGAGACCCTTGTACCGTTTTGGGTTCAAAAGGGATGGTGGCATGCAGTTGGCACGCGGGATATTTGCACAAGCGGCTGAAGAGTCTCGCTCTACGTTCCCTGTTTGAAAAGTCAAACGAGTGCGCAGGGCCAATTGTGGCACATGACCGCTCGAGTGCTGAGAGATCTCACAAGCCGACCTGGAGTTTGAACTGCTTAGGGCTGGGCTTGTTGCTCGCAGAACTTAGGGGCATGATCATGAATCCACAGAAAGGCTGAATCGAACTTCACGCAGACAGCTACCGCATGATGTGAAGTGCCGAGACGGCACGACCGTCTTAAGTTCTGGATCTGGAGGGCACCCATGCTACTTGGCAGTGCAACTTGCTATTTCATGCTACCCTTGCAGCTTTTGAGATACTGGTGTCCGGGGGCTGCAGAGAGGTCTTGACACAAGCACTTCGACTCGGCGCACAGACTGGCCCTAGCTGCCTGAGAAGTCACCTGATGCCGATGAGAAAAAAGGCGTGACAGCAAGGCCATCTGATGGAGACACCAGCAACTCTTGAATCCCCAGGTCGCAGCAATTTCGTCCTACAGGGTCACAGACAGAAACTGCAGACATCTGTTCATGAACCGACATGGGTACATCCTAAATCCCAAACCCCAAGTGCCGGCGGCCCGAAACGGCCCTAAACCCTGCCCTTTGCAGTCAAGGCGTCGACTGCGGAGCGGCTTCGAGGCCGTGCAAGCCGAGGCCAACCAAGTTCACTCCCGAAGGTCCAAAAACACCCAGAAAAGCTCCCGATTTCGGGGTCCCCATGATGAGTGATCAGGGCCCGATCAAGTGCTGAAGACCAGAAGTCGTAACTGCAACCGCGCAACCACTAGTGCACGACTGCTACCCACTAGTGCACGAATAACCAAAGTAGCTGCACGGCAGCAGCGGCATCACCAACATCACCTGCACCACCACGACCCACAACAACAGCAACGCAACAGCAGCAACAGCAGCCGCAACAGCCGCAACACCACCACCACAACCACAACCACAACCACCACCACCGCCACCACCACTACCACTACCACCAACATCAACAACAACAACAACAGCAGCAACAGCTACCACCACCACCACGAGGACGACGACGACTACTATTACTTACACGACGATTACTGCTCCTGTCACTAGTACTAGAACTATTAGTTGCACTAGTACGAGTACTACAAGAGTACTAGCACTAGCAGTACTAGCAGTACTAACAGTAGTACTAGTAGTAGTAGTAGTAGTAGTAGTAGTAGTAGTAGTAGTAGTAGTAGTAGTAGTAGTAGTACTAGTTGTAGTAGTAGTAGTAGTAGTAGTAGTAGTAGTAGTAGTAGTAGTAGTAGTAGTAGTACTAGTAGTACTAGTAGTACTAGTAGTACTAGTAGTACTAGTAGTACTAGTACTAGTAGTAGTACTACTACTACTAGTAGTAGCAGTAGTAGTAGTAGTAGTAGTAGTAGATCCTTACGTACGTACCTACTGGTGCTGGTTCTGGCACCAGTACAAGTACTACCATGAGGACCAGCACTGGCGCTAGCAGTATCGCTAGGACGACCACCACCACTTCTACTACTACTAGTGATACTACTACTACTACTACTACGACGACTACTACTACTACTGCAACTACTACAACAACTACTACTGCTGCTGCTGCTACTACTACTACTATCTTCACTACTACTCACTATTTCCACCACCACTACTGCTACCTACTACGGCTACGACGACGACGACCACTACTACTGCTACCGCTGCTGCTGCTGCTACTGCTACTACTAATAAAAATAAAATAGCAATAGTATTGGTACTTCTACTGCTATCAATTCTGCTACCTACTACTACCACCCCGCTTAACTTCATGCTTACGTTCCTTCATTATAAAATGGAAACAAGGCAAGCAAAAGGACACAGTGAAAAGAGCGAAGCGAACTGCTGGTTCTTGGTTCTTTGTTTTCTTAGGTAACACAGACGAAATAAAAAGACGGGCGTGTTTAGTTCAATGAAGCACACAAAAAACGCAGGGCACTTTGTTCACTGTCATTCCTCTTCATTCCATTCATGCATTCATTCTCTTCTTTCATTCCTTTGTAATGTAATGGAGAGCGCGGAGCGAACGAACCAAAAGATTCAGTTATTGCAATGGAATGAGGATAACAAGAGGAAACGTGTAGTTGTCCTTTCGTTCCATTTTCTTTAAGTGGTTCTTTCGGCCATCCAACAACTAACAGCACAGTGGAAAGTAGGACAAGGTAGTGAGTAAGTTGTTGAATCAGAGGACAAACAGCTGTACTACTACTACTACGACGACTACTACTACTACTACTACTGCTTCTACTATATACTGCTACTACTACTATTTCACTATACAAGTACTCTGCTCGTATTGCTGCTGTCGCTGCCACCGCCACTACCATCACTATTACGACGGTACGACTGCAACAGCAACGGCAAGACGATCTACTGCACGAGCGGCGGCAGCTGCGAGACCGCAGCAATTGCAAAAGCACGATGATGGCATTTCCCGCAGCCCACGGAACTAATCAGCCCAGGACCTCGCGACAGTTGCAACCGCGAGGGTTTTGCAAGCCAGTTGTGTAGAGACAAATCGCAACATGACTCGGAGGCCGGCAGGACCTGTTTCCGGTGTGGCTATGCATTTCAAGCAGATCTGTCGGGAAGCTCGGGGTAGACTGTCGCGCTTCGCGTTGTTGCATCTGCGTTATATGCGAGGATGGGAGTTTGCTTCGTTGCAGTTCGTTCAAGCTTCAACGGCAGCTACGAAATTCGGTTGATGAGCTGTAAGCTCGGGCCTTTCTTTTGTCATGCTGAGGCAGTACTGCAAGGAATGCGGCCACAAGAGGGGAGAGGCCTGTGAGCACTGGTCCCCAAAAAACCCAAAGGGTTCTGAACATGCTAGTCTATGTCTTATGTGCCTGCAGGCCATGTTTCCACTGGCCCCGCGGCCACCGACTCCCACGGACCAGACGACTGCAGCCGGTGCGTGCGGGAACACAGAGTAGCTTCTTGACGGTGTAGTGTTCAAGGTTTGGTGCTCCAGAAATCTCTGCTTGAGTCTCTGGGACCGTGCTGATTGAACAGATTACGCCATTGCGATAGGTGGGATGGAGCAAGCCGGGTTTGCACACAGCTTTTTTGTTATACTTGTAGCAATACATATGCATGCGTCCTTTCATCTGCCCCGCATGCAGAATTACGCATCCCCCATACTGCCATATAAGGAAGTCTACACATCTGTGTGTTTAGTGTGAGGCTGTGCACATGTATCGTTGTTCACAGGGTATAACGCGCGGTGTGCAGCGAATGTCGGTAAGAGGGTGGGCATGCATTCGTATGTAGAACGCAAGAACAAAAGCATGTTACTTGCAATTGCTCACACAGCTACTGCATGTTATGTCACAGTATGCATGTCATATTATGTATTAGTGTTATGTATGTTATGTTGGGATGATTTGTTTTATGTTGTGTTGCATTAAATTAAGTATGCATGCATCTGTACAGGTATGCTTGTGTGCATGTGTATATATATATATATATATATATATATGTATACATATGTGTATTGGTATATAGATATATATGCATATACATATATGCATACACATATGTATATATATATATATGCATATGTGTGCGTGCATGCATGTATTCATGGTTGCAGTGTCTGGCATTTGTTCATTTGTTTGTATGAGCAGGTCTGTGTATTTATGTGTTTGTCGGTCCGTCCGTCCGTCCGTCTGTCTGTGTACACATGCAAGAATTCGGACATGCATCTGTCTATCTATCTTTCTATCCGAAAGTCTATCTCTCTTACATTTATACAAACAGTGTGTGTGTGTGGGTGCGTGTGTGTGTGTGTGTGTTTTTGTGTAGGGCTTGCCAGAATATGTCACATGCGTGCGTGCTTCTGTGTATTCAGGTGTCGCCGTATGTCCATGGGTATCCGGTATACATGTACACATGACTGCACTCGCATGCGCGTACATAGCGAAGGTCTGTGCAGACAAAGGCGACCAGTGTCCAAAACCCGCGCGTCGGCCTTGATCGGATGGCTCTTTAAGCACCCAGGCCATCAGCGCTCTGCCGCACTGCGCCACCGAGGTGGAGGGAAGCGGGTTTCAGTTTTGGCCGGGCGCATCGTGAGTACCGGGTCCGAATGTCGACAACACGTGCGTAGTCTGAAATCACCTATGACTCACAGTTGGTGCTTGGGCGTGTTTTTAATTGATGCCCGAAGGCGAGCTGGCTAACTGCAGCATCGTACAGAACACGCCGAAGTGTTCCTCTTGAAAACCGGCAGATGTTGGATGTTATGGTGAACAAATTTACGATCACACAGTGCGCTGATATGGTTTCTTGTTCATTTTGTAGTTCGTAGGCTTGTTGCGTTTGGGGTCTTCGACGTCCAACGCAGTGTCTACGAGTGGAAGTCAGACATGTTCTAAGTCCAATCTTCTGCCAGATGTATGACCGCCGAGCTCATAGCACGTGTTTGAACTGTTGGCACCGGATTACTTGGACATTCGGTTCTATCAGGACTCTAGCAGATGTTAGCAGAAGTTGGAAGTACAAGTCATGATCGGATCCTGTTTGCTCAAACATAGAAGCACTTGATACGTGGCCTGTTCCAAGCCAGGTGCAGCCATCCAAAAATGTGGTAGTCGGATGAGCTACGCATGGCGGCACGAGTGCTAAAGGTACTCGGAACATCGCTACAGGACTGATTTGTTTAGGTCAAATATGGTATGTATTCATACATATACAAGTATCCATGCACATAGAATGCATATACATATGCACATATATACAAATACATATACGTCTATGTAGACACTCACATATGCTGTATGTATGCATGCGTGCCCATGGATGTCTTCCGTCCTGGCTGTCTACCCCTCATGCTTTCCATGTTTGTCTAAAGGACAGAAAACTCGACACAGTAGATAATTTGACAAATGAGCCACATGTCCTTGCATCTAGGCTGCCATCACTACGCCCAGGTTCTTCTCAGCCTACCCACTTGAAGTGTCCAGTCTACCCGAGTCTCGCCTGACCGTGGATATATACATACATACATACATAGCATATGTGTACATGCATGTATACATATATATGAATATACAGACAAACAGAAAGAGAGGGAGAGAGAGGGAGAGAGAGCGAGAGAGCTGCAGGTGAGAGGCGGGAACTGAGAGAGACGGACAGAAAGAGAGAGGGACAGACTAAGGGGGTGCCCTTGCTTCTACCCTCGCGAAAGAAAGACTATAATACAAGGATGACTGACACACACCCACACACGTTTCCTCTATCTACGAAAAATCGAACGTTTGTGGTCAGATCGTCTCTGGAGCTCTTGGTAATCCAGAGGCGAGTGCGCTAATTCACTGCCTCTTTTGGGCCTCCGGCCATCTGCAATTCTTGGGAGGCTGGTTCCAGGCCAGTTGCGGTTTCGGGGGGGGCAGGGGGGCTGAGTTGGGATGAATGTAGATGCTATGGCTTGGCAGCCCAAGAAGCTTCGGTGGCTGGCACGCAAGGCCCCAAATTCAAGAGCTGGTCCGGTTCATCGTCCGCCCAGGATACTGCCAAGCATATGAGGCATGGGGACTTTGCTTGCCTCAACCAAGTTCTCGGATATAGAGTCAGAAGTCCTGCACCGACATCAAGCATGTCGCGTTTGAGAAGTTCCACGGCGGCAACTGGACGTGTGCCGGGAGATGTGGAGCAGTCGGCACCCACCGGCACCCAGAGCATGAAACTGACCTGCGTCGCCCTAAGCCTGTTGAAGCCTTTGAGTCTCGTGAACCCTGAAATCCCCTTTACGGCCGTATTGGGCTGCCTGGCTCCTCTTAGGGCGTCCTCTTGGGTCGAAAGCACCCCCCCCTGCAAGTACTTCTGGTTTCAACTTTTCGAACGGTTTACACCAGAGATGTCTCGGTTCTGCTTCTGTGAGGAAGTGAGGGATGCTGGACCTGTGGGCATCAGACTCGGGGAAGCAGCCTCTACTGCGAGTCCAAAAGGTGCGGAGCTCCCTCCTTTACACCAGGTATCATGACTGACATGTCGCTGCTGGTTGCTCTAGCTGTTGCATGCTGTGCTGCTGGTGGTCGTGGTGGTGGTGGTGGCAGCCGCTGCAAATACTCCGTCCCTCATCAGTCTCGGGCATCCTCAGATTTAAGTTCGCACGACCTCGCTTGTGACAAATCGGCTCAGTCGACGAGACCAAGGCCGGAAAATGCCCAGTTGTACAAGATCATGGCCTTGACAGCTTGAAGCTGGATCTAAACCCACAACCTAAGCCTGACTCCTCAGACGACACCCTCGACCTCCAGATTGAAGAGACCCGCCATCGCGCAAACACTTCTACTTCTACTGGACTCCCAGACCGTCCGGTTCTCCCAGGCACTCGCCATAGGGCCAAAACGAGAGCCAAGCTTTGCAGTCCACCCGCACCAACCTGTATCAGCTTGGGCATGGGTCCGCGAACACGAAAGCCGACACGTCTAAGCTTCCATAGAGCCAGCGCGCATTTCCGGGTCTGAGCACCCTGCCATCTGCGAGGACAGCGAGAGTAACATGAATCATGGGGGATGGGCATGCGGTGCATGAAATGATTGTTCCAGACTTGTGGATAAGCGCTCCGCCGTCCATGTGCAAGTCTTCATGTTGCAAGTGTGGCAAGAGCCAGTACCTCCGAGCACCCTGGATGATCCCCAGATCTGAGCGAGGATGTCGTACCTCGCGAATTCGCTCTTTGTCAGAAACCTGAGCCCGCAGGCATCGAAGTTCTACGAGATGTTTCGGGATAGCGAGGGATCAGGATCCACCTGTGGTTAATGGTAGCTAGGCCTCTGCGAACATGTGGTCGCATCAGAAGACAGTCGGGTAAATTCGATATGGATCCATCGAGCTTCGCAGATTGCAACTCTAGACGTGTTAATTCATGGCTCATGTGGCTCGGGTGAATGCAGGCTTTGGGGATGTAACGCTTAATCTACCTGTCACAGGCACAGGGGTTTCAATTTCCAAAACTTGCCGCCAGATGGCCAAGTATGGTTCCATCAGGGTATTCGTACTGCAGGAACCCCAATCACCCAACTCGTACGCCACTCACCAGCAGCATTGCACCCATCTGCATAGTTTTCTGACTGCCCTGCGACATTGTGCATGTATGGTATGGAATGAGATAAGGTATTGTAAGGCACGGCAACGGATTGGAAAATAGGCTGAGGCAAGGTGGTGTGGAAGTATGTTTGTCTGTTTGCATGCATGCACGCAGGCATGTCGGTCTGTTTGTGCGCATAATATAATTAGATGTAAACAAATATATAGATATGTGTGTGTGTGTGTTGAAATGTGTATAAACATATACATACATACACATAGGTTGCGTGTATGTATGTATGTGCATGTTCCCTATGTTTTTGTGTTTGGAGAGGCCCACAACCTAGACCAGCCCACTGAGTATCTAACCCGGGGTTTCTGCGGATCTACAAGCATCCCCCCGCAGGTGACTGAGACCGTCATCCGAGAGGCCAGCGCCTTTGTGGGATGAGGTTGAAGAAGGAAAGACACATCGATATTCATGAGTTTTGTTTCGTTTCCTGGTTCACTAATGCCACAAGCCAGCCTGAACACATAGTCATCTTCCGCGATGCGCAACTGTCTCCTTGTGTGGACCCCTTTGTTGGAAGCTTCTGTTTCAGAACCTGGAAATCGAGGCCGCTTCATCGCATGTTTCAGGCTTGAGTAGATCATCGTATCTGCTTCACCAGCAAAACGATGATCGGCTCGGAACGTAGCAGTTGAACGAAAATCAGAAGCCATGCACGGTTGAATTTCGATGTTGTCAAAATACAGAACTGGAATCCCACTCTGCGCAACAATCTCAGCATTAGATTTCGGGTCCACTGTCGAGGTTTTCAGCTCTTGCGATGAGATCGTGAAGGTGAGCTTCAAGCCCATGTCCTCAGCTCTTGACGCGTGGACGAAAGCGTCTCCTTCGGGCCCCAACTTGCAGTTCTGGGCCTGGGGTTGTGACGTTGGTGCGACCCCACTGTGGACGGAACTCTGCGAGACCTGGCTGTCCGAGGCCTTACCCCAACAATGAGACCCAGTTCTTTGCACAGGTCGATTTCAAGCCTGTCCCTCAGCTGCCTGTACAAGCTATATTGATATGGCATCAGGCCTCTCAAGCAACACAGGCCTTCTGGCACTCAGACTTATTTGCCTGAGCATGCTTCTCCGACCACCACCGCATCCTTTTTGAGAACACTTGCAGTGTTTTTCAGAGTCAACATGCGCCTGTGCCAGCAAGCTTTGTACGATGGCAGATCGCTCTGTCGAGTGGCACTGCAGACCGGTGGCTTGCTTGTCTACGGTCTTGCTCATCTCTCCATGCTTGTCTTGTCTCCATCTGTCCAGTCATGTTTCTGTCTCTGTCTAGTTTGTCATCGGTTTGTCCATCTTTCTGCTCTGTCTCTCTGTCTCTAGCTTTCTCTCTTCATCTGTCAGACCCTCTCGTGAAGCCTCAGTGGGTCATCTACAAGCGCAGCAATGCAACAAAGAGACAACCCGGCAGATCTGCTGCAAACCTTTGAGTTCCAGCTTCGGCACTGTGCTCATCCGTCATCTGATCTCTGCTTAAGCAGTTCGTGCTAGGCTATGCCTTATTCTTCGTCAGAGCCCGACCCTGTCTTCCCTTTTAGGGGTAGCCTCAGTGACTCGATGTCGTTGCGCTTCTGACACGTGAGGACCTCGATGGGAGTCTCTGAAGGCTCCAAGCTCACAGGTACGAAAATCCTGGGTCGTGGGCTGAGGCTGAGTTCCAGACTTCTGACTCCTTTAACCGAAGTTCTCGTGGAGCTGTTCCCGAGACTCTACCCGAGCCTTTTCAACTACAGGATCTTGTTGCTGTCATGTCGCGCCGATCCAGTCCAGGTGCTTGGTAGAACGGGTAGAGCGGAGTGCATGATACGATGTGCTTGCCATGAAGTCAGTCACCGGTCTTACATGTGCTACTTGTAGAAGAGCCAGTGTTCAGCGGCTTTTTTGGCTCGTGCAAAGTGTGGAGCAATGGAAATCCATCAGAGAACATGCGATCCTGAACCTTTGGATTGAGCGACTCAGGCTGTGCCTGCAGCTGCAGCGTGATCGATCCGATCCGCCAGGCATTGAACTTCTGCGCGGTTCTGCTCCGGGAGAGCTGGCTGTCCGCTTGTCAGCTTGTAGCGTACCACGCAGGGAGAGGCTGGCCATGCCGAGCATTGCATGAAAGTCTCCGCGCGCTTTCGTTTCTCGCTCGGTCTCGCTCTCGCTCTCTCCCTCCCTCTCTCTCTGAAGCGCATGCATCAATTCCTATAGCGCGATGAATGGATAGATGGACGAACGCATGGATTGGTATGCCAGTACAGGCACGCCTTCGTTCATTTCATGTATTCATTCACACCGGAGCACTGCACACGCTTCGTTCACTCCAGCCCTACTGAAACCTGCAATCCGAGGATATCTGTGCCCCGGCACCCTGCATGTGTCAGGCCGACCAGGCACGGCAAGCATTGGCTGCTGGCGACGTGCAGCTCGATCCCCGGGCTGGATGTATAGGGTTTGAATTCGGAACTGTGCGAAGCCGGCTGAGACAACACGACATGCGAATCGATTTTGTGTTCTCTCTCGGTCCAGTATCAGTGTAGCTCTGCTTGAATCCACCTCTCAAGGGGCGTAGGGTGCTTGAAGCCCAAAGCTTGTGGCTCGCAGGCCCGGGGGATCGAAACTATCGGGGCGAGACTCTCGTAAGAAGCTCCTCGACCCCTCAGAGCCTGGTCCACGCGGTGCTTGTCCATGTGTCGTCGCAAGTTTGGCTCAGCGCTACCAGTAGTCGCTTACATCGCGCAGTCAAAGCAAGTGGTCCCCAGAAGTGGACCTAGAGAGCAGTCACTAGATCTGCAGGAGTTTGCAGTCCTGTCCGTGCCTCTGGTTTATCGCTGCTTCGCTTCAGAGACTCTGCTTCAAGAGGCGGGGGCCCATGCATCTGGAAATGCTGGCTAGGGCATCTTCACCGCAAATGGGATGTCCGACATAGGCTCTAGAGGGATTGCTACCACTTGGGGTTCCCTTGCGGGACCACGATACTTTAAGTTCGGCAAACCGCTGACCCTGCTGCCCAACCGGCCCCTACATACTCCAGCATAGCCATTGGATGTCATGGCTGTATCACCATTCATGACAATTAGCCGGATTAGCGTCATCAATGTTCAGTCCTGTATCGAGTTTGAGTCGACATGCCCGGGTAGATGCTTCAAAACAGCAGGGCAGGGAAGGAGGTCCTCGTGTTTGAGTCTACGGAATCTACGGCTTGAATGGAGGGCTCCGAGCGTGGTGCTTCGGGCTCAGTGTGGGGCCAGTGCGCGGCTGGATCCATTGCCCTTCACACAAACTGGCAAAGGCGGTCAGCTACGGCGAAACCCTGAAGAGCAACGCTTCCTTTCGCTTAGAGCCAACATGGGACGTGTAGCAGCCGCTCCCATCTTCTGTCCCATCCTTGATGCGTTCAATCGTCACGCAGCTTTTTCGGACCAAGCGACCGCCTGCAAAGCAGAGGTCGGATAGGTCCTTCAGCCCGCGTCTGTGTGGGAGCAGGGCTGCGGTGAGAAAGTTTCAAGCGCAGATAGGCACTCCTTTCCTTTCGCATGTCCGACGTTTTCATGCTACTAAAGACTAACATGCCATGTAGACCCTAGCCCCTAGCCATAGCCTATCTCATGCTGAGGACGCCAACTCAGGCAATGTTTTCAATTTCCTTTCCTAGTTATCCCTAGGCTTAGTCACATGTAGCAATGGTGTTGATGCGGTTTCAGTCGGCGACGCGTGTGGAGCAGGCCCGAACTGTCTAGTCGTTTGGTGTTTGCCGGCTCATGCTCGGGTCCCGCTAGTCTGCCATCTTTACCGTTTTGGACAGGCGCGCGACAAATCACATGCTTGCACACCTGCCGGCTCAATTGAAATCAAGCCCCACATTGGAGAACTGTCATGAGCCGCAGCTCCTTTTATGTCCCTGGCGGGGTCTTCCGGATGATCCTCAGCTTTCAGAATGCACTGTCACAGGCTGTTACTTCCGAAATGTCAACAGTGACGAAGTTTGAATAGCAAGACGTGGAAAACCCGGCAGACATGTCAAAGATCGGATAGGCTTAATGCCGTCCTCTCACTCCCACACATGGTGCGCCGTGACTTGTTGACTTGTTGCAGGCGGTGCATCGTCAAGGCCTTTTCCGCGCCGCCACGGGGCGCCAGCTGCTTCAGGAGATTGTTTACCTTCCATGGCACTATAGGGCTTCCTCTTTGCCATGCGCTACATGCATCTGAGTACAGTGGGGGGTCCTGAGTGCCTTTGTTTGCCCATGCCGGTTCTCTGCTCGGACTGGGTGCCTCTCGGTTTTCAACCACTTATGCAGCAGTAGGAGTCAATTTCACATGTTTGTCGAAGCAACCGTCGCTCTTGAGGGCACGCGTCTCTGTTGCGACTCGCTCTGTCTAATCTTCGTTCGGAAACTGTGCTTTTGTTGAGAATACTTGAACTGGCCACTGGGGGGCGCAGCTTCAGAGAGACATCCGGGATAGATGGTGAAGTGTGGCACGGCATGCTCATACACGAGGCAACAACCGAACACACTGGGAGCTGTAAACCAGGAGCAGGTCCCAGGTGCACCAAGGAAGAAAAAGGCTTAGTTTCAAGTTGCCAGCCACAGCCACGAGGTGCTGCAATCATGCGACAGGACCTGATCAACCCAGAATGGACTACCGACGTGTACAGAACGCTGCCGAAGGTGGAGATGGGTTTCATGCGGCTTGTAGGCCCTTGTCATCCTGCTTCCGGGCCTTCTTACCCACCTCCGCAACTATGTCGGTTGAGAGGAAGCATCGCAGGGTCATCCGGAAGGTTATGAGGTAACCAAAGCGCTGGTTTCTTGCCTCGCGAATCGTGCATTGCAGACGCCGGTTCTTCGCAGCTTCCGCGTCGGATTACATATGCTTGCGCTTCTGAAGGTTAGGCTGACTTTTGCAGCTTCTAGAAGCGTGCATGTTGCTACAGCATACGTGGCTATCAGATGACAGTTTAGTCTGTCAGATGACAACGACATACAACGACGGATGGGTTTGCTTGGCAGGGAGAGCATCGCAGCATGGCCACCAGGTCAGCCACGTAGATGTCTTTGTTTCTCACTCTTGGAGCTCCTCCCAGTTCTTGCGGCTTGGCACACAGAAGAACGGGCCAAAGGTTTCTGCAGAGTATCGGAGACTAAGGCAGGCTCGGGAACGGCCATTTGGGCATCACCTGTATTCCGAAGAAAGGTTCAATTTGTGGCTCTGTTACATTCTCGGACCCTTCATTCTTGAGCTTCGTAAGGGAGTTCAAGAGGCTTCTGCGGGGGCTCGATTTTTGGAGCCACGAGAATCTAAGACATCACAACTTTCGAGCACCGAAATTCAGACATCCTCTTCGCACGAGGGTTGGTCAATTCACGCACCCAGCCTCTGGATTAGACTATATTAGACCGGATGGCGGACTGCCACGAGCCAGCGTCAGCATTATCCGTGCAAAAGCGGGCTTCTTACCCGCAACAGGGTATCCCCGACAATCCTTCAACTCCAGACAAAACTCTCAACTGGACGAAGGTAAAAGCCTTTGAATGCGACAAGAGTTGCCCTGAGCCTCAATACAACGGTTCTATAATCCTCGGCCCTGTAGGCTCGCTGAGAGTGTCTAAGGCCTATAAGGATCTTAAGTGTCATGTGAAAGCAGGAAAAGTGCACAGAGGAACCCGTGCGACAGACCGCATGTCAGGCCTTCTCAGGTTCCCGCAGCTAAAGCACAGCACCATCCTACCTCTGTCCCTCCCTTGCCACGAGCCCAGGAAAACATTGGCCCTCTGTTTGTTCATGAATATGTGGATGGCAGTGAAGGCCACCCGGAGTACAGTTCTCCTGCCACAGGAACTTTTTGCAGTGACATCTTGTAGGTTGGTAAAGGCTGTCCCTTGTTGAGTGGTGTATCTGTGTTAAGCTTGAAGATGCAAAACCCTTCACACTGGACCCCATTCGGGATGCAGGAGTCCCTCTCCAGAGGCCCCGAACACCCTTGATTCACGTATCACCGGCGCGCCTTTCACACGCCCTTAGTAGGCAAAATTGCACTCTACCTCACCATGCCAGAGGAACGAGTAAGGATGATTCAGAAAACGATTTGACACTCGACGACTCGACGAGACACCGTGCCGCACGGCAGGACTTGAATTGTTGACTTGGGGCCTGCAAGTTTGAGACTGTGAGGCCGCCGTAGCCACCTGGATTGGCCTGAGCATCTTGCCAGCACGAGGAAGGAGCCTCCTGCTCCCGTAGAAATGGGACATGTGGTCTAAGCCCTGTTTCAGTTCACTTCGGCCTGAGACGATTGTTCAAAGACCTCGGGTTGCACGGGCCGGTGAACAGCTTGCTTCATATGCAGTCTAGCGCGACATTGGCCACGTCTTGCAGGAGTCTTTGACTAGCCTCAAACATCACTCCATTTCCCAGCGTCCGTCAGACGAGAACCCTCGGACAAGGAAGTGCGGCCTTGGGAGTTCCCAGAGAGAGCGCTTCTTGTGTTCTTGAAGCGACTTCTAGCTGAGCCCAAGCCCCCAGACCCCAGGCTACCACAACTTACTCGTACCGCGGCGAAAGACCACTTCTGCGATGCTCACTGAACTTTCCAAAACTGCAGAGCACACGGAGGCTTTGCGCTGGTCGTCTCAATGGGAGGACCTTTCAGCCTCGGAGGCCGTCTGCATTTGAGGGTTTAGCGCCTAGGGAGGGCTTCAGGAGTTTCAGGCATCGCTAAGATCTGAAGCCCTCCATGTTTCGTCGTAGCTGACGCTCGTTGGTCCCTTCAACCTGAAATGAACGAGCACCAGCACTGAACCGGGACGTGCATCGAGGACATTTCCAAATCTGGACTCAAACTTCCCGAACCCTAGCCGCAGCCCAGAGTTAAAATGGTGTCCGAGGTACTGACATGCTTTGGCTCACAGCAGTGTTGGTGTACCTGCCCGTGGCTGTGTTCGTGACAGTCCTGCTGTGCCCTGGCGATGCCCGAATCGGACCCAGTCCGCTTCACTGCTTTAGCTGTCCAGCTCCTTGTATCCTGGAGCACTGAGTTCGGTGTACACTAGGTTAGAAGTGCTGCAAATGCTTCGCGAAGCTGCTGCTTTTTCGTGCGCTTAGGGAAGCCGCAACACTGGGATCCCGGCAACAGAATTCGTCTGCCGAGGTTTGGGCAGACCATCACCTGTGGGAGGTTCTCTCCTTCCTTTTGGTTTGATCGCCTTTGTGTTCAGCAAAACAACGAGGAGACCGAGGGAACCAGGATGCATGGTGCAGGGGTCCAGCCACATGCTCAGGCTGCTAAGTCAACAAAGGCTCGGTGCCTTACGCCTGCCAGGCACTTCTAGCACGGTGTACAAGTCGTGCCTCTATCCAAAGCTAAGCTGCTGCAGTTCTGGCCCACTATCTCCCGAAACACGCAAGATACCTTTAACCCGCTGAAAGACAGGCGTCCAACTCTCCTGCCAGAGTTGGCTGCTGCTACTTATCCTGTCAGCGTCAGTGTCAGTCCTACGAGCAAAACTGGCCATGCAACCCAACATTCAACATGCAGGAGATGAAGAAGATGACCATCGCAGCACTGCGATGCTTGCGCGATTGAAATTCCCGTGATCAAGGTTGAATGAAAACATTGAGATAACCTTCCTTGCCCTCTGCACTCAAGCTGAGTTCTTTGCAACATCCGAGCTTGGTGATTGTGCAAATGTCATGGTTTGCATGCGCAGCTGTTGCTCGTGCGGCAAGTTCCTTGGCATGCACACAGTGAACTGCACCACAAAAGCAAACTTGTGCAAAGAAAACCAGCAGTGCAACCGTTGCAGCATTGCATATGGACGGAAGCACAAACGCTGCTTTGTTTACAGGGTACTCATTTGGATCAGAACTTAGGGGCATCGTATTCTCGAGGCTTGGACTGGACATCGGTCGCGATCCCAACATTCACCATCTCATCTGTTCTCAGAGCCTGACTCCAGCTGTTAGAAAGCATCCCTGGTCTTGGGCCGTTCCTTGACTTTAGGGCAACTGCCTGCACACGGCAGGCCTGTTTTCGTGGCAAGCTCCAGCCGGATGCTCGTTCTTGGAGACGATACGTACTTCGAACGGTGCCGCAAGCTTGTTTGGAGGTGTAGAGTGTAGGGGTCATGGTTAGGCTGTTGTGGATCCTTGTTGCGGGATGGAGGCACAGGTGGCAGCTATTCCCCAAGGCGTAGTGGTCAGATTGCGGACAGGCAGGTTCCATGAATGCTGATGCAAGTTGCGCAAAGATTACAGCTCCAAAAGCTTGCAGGGCCCTTAACCCGTAAGCCCTAGACAGCTAGAGGGTCTGCAGTGAAGAGTGCAAGAGAACTCTGCAGGGCCTATCTCGGCGCACCGCTTTTCCGGACTGCAGCCTCCCTTGAGCCTTTCGATTCGACACCATGAACTCTCAACCCTAAACAAAAGCACGTGTCAGCACACTAGACCTGAGGGCCCTGCCTTAAACCCTCAACCCCTTGCTCCTGAAGGCTCTGGTGCAACCTGGAGCTTGCGATTTTCGCGAAGTGTTCCTCCGACCCCGGCGCAGTGCAGCACCCTGGCCATGGATTTCGGAGATTCTGCTCGTTGCAGCTTTGGGTTTTCAGGCTTGTATCTTAAGCTTCTGGGGTTTCCTGACGTTTCGGATTTAGGGGTACGTGGCTGCCTTTCGAGGCAGACCTGTGATCGGAAGCAAGCGCAGGGATCCTGATCGCGCTAGGTGTTCCACGTGTACCTCGCATCCGATCAGTCGTAGCCGTTGGTCAATAGCCGACTGCATGCTTCTTGAGTTTTGAGCTGCGAGTCTTGTTCCGTTACTGCGGCTTTGGCCATGCCGGCAGCTGTTGTTCGAAGTCTGACACAAGCTGAATCTTGCGCCGCGTGGTCCAGGGGATGCTTGCTTGCAAATTCTCAATGCGCAAGGTACATGCCTCTGTGGTTGGCTCCATGGATATTGTCAACAATCTTCATGGCAGCTCCGCAGCACCGAAGTCAGCCGTCGAAAGCACAGCTACTGCGACACCATCGTCAAGCATGGTCTCCGTCGTGGTCACCGCTACTGTCGTCACGATTGCGCGCTTCTCCATCGTCGTCATCACAGTCTTATCATCGTCATGCCGTCCTACTACGTTCTGGAACTCTTGCACTTACTCCTCCCTTCCTCCTTTCTGCTGGAGCTACTGTTAGTCCAGCTGTTTCTGCTTCTGCTGCTTTTTGTTACTGTCACTGTTACTACCGTTGCTGTTACTGCTGGTACTGCTGCTACTACTACTACCACCACCACCACCACCACCACCACTGCTACTGCTACTTCCGCCACTTCCACTACTACGCTATACTACCCCTCCTGCACCTGCACCTACCCCTGCGCCTACCGAGAACAACAACTGCTACGACTAACAATACAATATTAATTCTAATACTGCTACTACTGCTACGACAACAACTACGACTGCAATTGGAGCCACTATTGCGACGACGAGGCTGTTCCTAGCTACTGCTCCTGCCACTGCTGCTTCTCCTACTCTTCGGAAAAGTCGTTCGGGTGGCGGTTCCGCACTTCCAAGTTCGGCAGTTGGTTAGAAGACATTCGTCTCGAGTCGTTGACAGCAGCGTGGCGCCAATGCTCTCAGTCTGCACAAACAAGTGATGCAAAACGGGGCCTGCCAGGACATCATTTGTATCACCATTGCACCGCCGCTGGAGAGCTTCGCGCTGGATCATCTCAGCACCCGCCCCGCCTCTGCAATTCTTGTATGCGTAACCTGGAGTTTTACGCGCAAGCGTCAGGCTCCACAGAAGTGCATGCGAACACGGCTGTCCTAACCGGGACTGGTTGCTAGCACCCCGTAAAGGCAAAGGGAGGAGTGTGCGTCCTCATCGCCACAGAACAACGCCGGTTGTTTCCTTGCAGAATCGCCATGTTGAAAGGACAGACTTCTGAACATGCCAAGGAATCCAGGAGTCATTCCCAGAAGACTCCACTATGAAGTTCTTCCTGATGCTCATGTTGACTTGGCAACTTGGCTGTTGGGCCTTAGCCGTTGTTTTGTCGCTGGTAGAAGAAGCCCTGGAAGTCCCGCAACTCGCGACTGCCTTGGAATCCGATTTCTTGGATGATAAGCAAAAGCAGGGCTGCTGTAGCCATTTAGAAGACCAGCGTTATAATATGTGTTTGTATATGTATAATATATATATATATATATATATATATATATGCATATTATCTGTTTGTTTGCTTGTTTGTATGCATGCATGGATGGGTGGTTCTTTGTCATATATTATGTATATGTATATGTATATGTATATGTATCAGCACAAGCACGTGTATGCCATATGAGTGTGTGTAGGTTTGTATGTATATACATAGATATGACGACGACTTCCACGATAGCTTACAAAGAAATCCTGATAATTACACGAAGGGTAGATGCAAGCATTGCGGAGGATCTTCCCCGGAATGTGCTATTTGCCTGCAGCCCTGCCGAGCTTCTTCTCTCACGTGAGGAGTGCGGGGTTTTGCGGTTTTCGGGTTGCATCATTGCCAGGTCGGCACTGCTGAAGATTGTACACTAAGGCTGAAAGTTTCGGGGCTTCTCACAGGTGATCTTGTCGGCCTCAAGGGGTGTTGGGCGCAGACCCGGAGCTTCTGACAGGAAGATTCGACAGCATGAGCTCACACTGCAGCACATGGACTGCTTCAACATCCAGAATGCCGCTAGATTTGCAAGGGTGCTTTAGCTTTGCAGCACGTCGTTTTGGTTGGATACTGCCCCAGGCCAAGTGCACCTGTGAGCCAGACCGCGAAATTATCGAGAACCAGGTGGGGAGCTTGAAGTCTAGCAAGGCCACATGTTGTATGGACTCACACAGCAGAGGGCCGTGTCTTGGAAAGCCCAAAGGTCTTGGAGCTCTTCGACGACCCTGTCGAAGTCTCCAACCACACGGACCGGCAGTGTCCAAAGCAGTGTACATCCCTGGTCCAGTTGCTCCTGGGTTATAGCGGCGCATACAGGTTCCTGGGGTGTCACGCCCTTAGAAGCACTCCGTACTACCATACTATCAGACACTATCACACTGCGCAGAACGAGCCACTTGTGAGGACTCGCCAGGCAAGGGGCATCTTTCACCGGTGGACAACCGATCACCCTGGCGACGTCCTAGCATAAACAGCTCCTGGAACGACCGTGAGCGGAGAAAACGGTCCTTCGGCACGGTTGCCGCGAAGACGTTCTTTCTTTGAGGGTCTTCGGCTAGTGTGTGTGGCTTGGGTTCATTTTTGTGTGCGTGTGTTGTCTAGGAGAGGTCTTAGCTCCGTTTGATCTGGGCGTTGTTGCATTTCGATGGTCTTGGCATTTTACATCCAGTGATAATCGGCAGTTCTGTTGTTAGGAGTTGGGATCGGGATGTGGTCGCTTTGCAGCAAACTGCGAACATGCGTATAGCACCACACTCGCGGTTCCGAAGCTTCCAGCAGCGCTTTTTCTCGTAGGGCACCTGGTAGTTTGTTGAGGAGCGCGGCGCGATTGAAAGCCAGAGCCAGCTAGGCAGCTAGGCAATTTCCGTGCCAAGGTTCAGGAATTTCAACCGCTATGTGCACGGCCCGTTGCGCGAATCTGTGCTGCGAGGTCTCGGCAAGGAGCCACTGGTTTACCGGTTACCGTTCGGGTCGGGTGCGTGCTGTTCGTTTGACTGTGCACAAGACAGCATCACGAGAGTTGCGCAACTATGCCGGCAGACCTACAGTGATTAATCCGGGCACATCTGCAAGGCTTAGGTTATACCACTTTCCTGTGTGTTCCTGTGCCAGGAGGTTGATATGCCGTGGAGCTTGTGCTTGATCTGCCACTCGACGGAACTGTCCAACCTGCCTGTTGGTGACATTGAAACGATTTGTCGGCACATTGATATTTATTGCGCATCGCATCGATAAAGACTTTGGAAGCAGGGTCTGCGCGTCTTGACATTTACCGCTTCTGGTTGATGCCGAACCTCACTGCAGACTGAAGGCCTCTGCATAGGATATCTCTGAGTACTGCCCAAACCCATCAGAGTTCCAAAGTCCTTCGGCAGCCGGGACCCTGTTCACCCGCGCCGACCCATTTGCCCACAGAAGCAGCCACAAGGGGAACTCTGCATAGGAAGCTGGCCAGGACGTGAACGCAGGAAAAGGACACCGTCACGTCCATTTGTGAATGCCCTGCGGCTGTTCGCAAGGTTTCATGCCTTTGGTGTTCTACTCGGCCGTCAGCGTCCTCGGCTGCGACGGCAATAGATGCGATGTCACTGCGGAAGAGGTGGGTTACGACACAGCTTTACAGCATCCCGGCTGGTCAAGCAGTGGAGCGAGTGCTGTGCGGAAAGCCTTGCAATGCTAGGGAAATTTTTAGCTGAAAGCCCTACGTCCTGATTCGTCCTTGACATGCTGCTTCAGCCTGTAGCATTCCTGGACATCCATTCCCCTCTCAAGCCTCGCTGGGAAGTCGACACCTTTGCAAGGTATGTGGTGGCCAACGCGCTGAGCTGGATACTGGGATTTGGGCTGGTCATCCCGACGACGCACCCAATCCTGCTGCGAATGGTTGCTGAGCTGCACAGGGCTCCTGCAAACTGTTGACTGATGGGCCAGCTCGAGTTCGATCGATTGAAGCTGGAGTTGTCCCCCCGAGATGCCGGACCGGCTGACAGTCCCAAAGCATCTCCACCCCTGGCCACCACAGGGGCCACGGGAAGTGGAAACTCGAAGTGCTACTCGAAGACCCGCAGCTTGGTGCAAGGTCAAGGTCGTTCTCACCGTGTCCAAGAACGTGCCAACCCAGGTCTGCTTGACTGTGGCTTGGTGACAGCGTTCGGAGCCGTTCCGGAATTCGGAGGTCCATGACACCATCTGGCAGCGGACATGGTAATTTGAAGTCGGCATGCATCTGTTTAAGGGCTTTTCGAGACGGTGCTTTGTAGCTCGGAGCACGCGCGATGCTGCATGCGTTTGAATCCCAAGATATGCCAAGAGGTGCCTCTAAGCCAACTATATTTGGGGGAACGATCACAGAGCTCGAAGGGAGCACGATACAGTGTTACAACATCGTAAGCTCAGAGAGAGATATAAAGGGGACTGAAACGATCAGATCTGAATCGCGCACCCCTGGCTGAGACCCAGAAATCCTCCTGCGAGGCTGTTTGCACCGTCGGCGCCTACGCGTGGGTGTTTACTTGTCAGGGAGTCATGACGGCGACGATGACAACAGCCATTGTCAGAAGCTCGTTTTGAAATGCTAGGACCACAGCTCACGAAGATGAGATGCTGGCAGCCCCAATGTGCTCTGCCCCGAAGTCACTCAAATACAGGGGTAGGAACTTACGGCTCCCGTTTCAACTAGAGACCAAAAAACATACCTAGTTTTTCCGCCCCTCCCCATACTACACGCCAGTCTCCAGAGATATGCCGAGACGGCATAGGTTGATTCGTAGGATGCTGGGATGTCGGTGTTGCCCTTTGTCCGAAAGCGCTCGCAGCTCCAAGGACTGTCACCTTCTTTCTTTGCCGCCTTGGTCCTTCAGCTCAGCCTGCTCACTTTGCAGACCCATGCCTGCACAGAAGCCAAGTCTAAGAGCCGTGGCGAGTTGGAGTTCATGCCAGACATGCTGCAGCGTTGACGAATTGCAAAACCCTCGTATCGTCCAAAATCGACAGCACTGTGGGCAAGCTCACTGACAAGCCCCTAGCTGCTCCTGCACTCGAGGCTTTGGTATTTCTTCATTCGTTCCAGACTACAAGCGCAGACGGCGCACTCGCCACAGGAGGACTCCACAAAATCGCGAGTGTTGTGGAAGACATGCTACGTCCTTTTTGTGCGAAGCCGCCCAACATCATGACAAAGTCTGGAATTCGTGGCTCATGCCCAAGCCGAGAGCGGGAAGGAGAGCTCCGGAAGAACCCAACGGCCCCCATTCGAAAGAGAAAACGAAACCCTATACTGCATCCGCCACCACCAAGCTCAAGTCTCTCGAGTCCTTGGACTTCAAACACCAGCAAAACAGCACCCCGGAGCTAAAAGCAGTTGAAAGCGCAAGGGAGCCCCCTACCCCCATTATGGGACAAAGGAAGAGAAAACAGCTAGCAGCTAGCAGGTTAGCGCTACGGTTTAGGGTTTGGTGCCCTTTGCCCGGAACAAAGCACAAAGACAGAGCGAGCAATAGCGAGAGAGGGCCAGGGAGGGAGGAGGGCATGAGACAGGAACAGAGAGAGATACCTTTACAGCTGCGCACCACTCGGCATTGCTATTTTCAGTCCATCGTCAACACTAGGCCTGGGAGTTCCCAAGCCCGTCAACGGCCAACCACAGCAGCTTAAACCCCAAACCGTTGTCTTATGTACGAACCCTAGCTGGCAGACCCCCGGCGAGGACTGCTATATGGAGTTCCAGTGACGGGAGCTTCCGGGACGGACAGGTAGTATAGACATGAGGTCGGAGGGTTTCCCTGCTCAGAGCAGTGCACTTTAAGCCGTTGGTCAATATCTGAGACGAAGCCTCACATGGTGGTATGGCAAAAGCATGCAAAAGCCTTGTGGTAGATAGACCGGACTCACAGTCCTATTTCCTCGGAATCAGCCAAATTTTTGTGCATGTATCAGAAGATCCCTCAGACCTCATGGAGCAATCAGTGAGCAGCGTTAGTTGAGAGGGCAGCAGAGCAGAACAATCTGGATTCACTCATCATGGTTTCGCCCTCACTTATACAGCGATCAGAGGTCAGTCTACGGAGTTGGAGATTCGTCCTCGTTTCCTGCTCGCTGCATAATGGATGATAGCAGGGACCCTGAAGTTCAGAGGTCGCATGGTTGAACTGCTTGTAGGTTTTCGGCTGCATTGCATTATATAGTTCGAAGTCGCAGCATAGGTTCGGACAGGGCGTGCAGCGTAAAGCCCTCCCAAAGCAAGTGCTCCGGCGACTGCCGGCCTTCGAATGTGTTCCTTTTTCCTCCAAGGCGGCAGAGCCGGCAGAGGGGAGCCGCGGGATCAGGAGTCCCCGCTCCACGGCAGAGCCAAGTTCCCAAAGTGCCAAACTCCTAGGTTAAAGTTTGGAATCATGCTTCGGCCCCATAGCTTAGTCACTTCAGCCTCTAACTCAAAGGCACCGACAATGCAAAGTGCGAGACTCGAACGGCCCAGCGCTCGGTCAGCACAGAAAAAGAAAAAGGCCCTGCGAGAGAGTTGAGACCTTCGCTTCGGGGGCCTTCCGTTAACGTTGAAAGATGTTCTGTCTGACTATTTGCATCCCTTCTCCACACGGTCCGGCCCTGACGGCGAACATGGTGCAATTGGAACGGCTATGGTGGTGAGGATGAGGATGATGACCGATGATGATGATGATGTTGACGTTGATTGTATGATTGCGAGTCTTCTGTTATGGGCCGCTTCAACTTTAGGGCCTTAGGCTTCTCTCCTCGGGACGGGAGAACGAGAGGTCAGGACTTCCGCATCTTTCGGGTGTCTTTTGCCATGAGGTCCAAAGGGGCTGCAGCAAGAGCCCGGTGCATTGCAAGCCCCGCAAGTCAGAACATCTCCATGTTGTTGTCCTTTGGGGTGGAACGGTCTGGGTCCCTAGGTCCCTAGGTTTAGATTTTTGTGGTGGTCCTGAGGTGGAAATCTGGACACAGCTTGCAGAACGGTTGCAGGTATTGGGAACTGGAGTACCTCCAATGAAAGCCGCAAATAAACAGGAAGCTCGACCCCTGGAAACCATGATTTGTTGCCTCTTGATTCGAGTCCATGACGAGAATTTTGCCCCTAAGCAAACCTTCTCGCCCCACAGCAGGCTGCTTCTCTTGAGTGAAGGATGGCAAACGGAGATTGGTAGCGTGAAAGCTGCGCTGATTTGTTAGCGCAGTACCTTTCTGTTAGTCTTGCTGTGAATCTTTTCACATTCGCCGTCATCACAATCCTTGCCATAGGCATGGAGTCGTGATCGGATCAGGTTGCAGAAGCGGAAAAGGCAGGGTTACAGCAGGAAAGCAGCCCGCCGCTAGTAGTAGGAGGACCCTTGTGGTTCATGAGCCGCTCGTGTGGATGTTCGAAATGGAAGGCGGCTCTGTCAAGAGTATACAATCCTCCAGCCATTGCGAAAGTCAAGCGGGCTGGTCTCCATTGCTAGGGCCTGGTCACAGGCCCACCGAGACCACAGCAGCAGAGTCTCCGCCGACTCCCTTCAACAGCAAAGCCGCCCCAAACCGAGAGGCATGTCACAAGAACCTGCAGATGAGAGCAAGAGTAGTGTGAGACTGCACCCGCAAACCGAAACGCCCTAATCGCGTCAGAGACGAGCAGACTAGCAGCTCTGACTGTTGCAGTTGGGCACGAGAAGAACTTCAATTCCTAATGATTGAATTTTCGCGTGCACTGGGGTTGGACGCGGTCGGACATGAAAGCCCAGGCATCTTTTGCTGAAGCAGCCACGGGACACATCTGCCAAGTTGAGCCTGCAGAGGCTGTCTTGTTCATGTTGGTTCCGAAGTTGCCAGGGCACCTTCAGTACATCGCGATATTCTGATGCGAGCAAGCAAGAAAATTGCCGCCAAGGCCCACGGAACAGGAGCTCGCAGATGAAGACTTTGAGATGAAGGCAGTGTGACCAGCCGGAGTGTAGGTATGAGATTGTTTCCTGCTCTATCGGTCCGAGCAATCAGCTTGAATCAGGGCTTGCGGGCTGGCTGCTATGCACTTCTGTCGCGGGTTTCTTAAACGTCCACACCTGATACGCATTCGTAGATGCGCAAACGCCAGCCCTTTCCCGAAAAGCCCGAAATCCCACATCGAGCTTGGAGCCTACTCCAAAGCTTAAAGCCGCACCAGGCAGAGCATGTCCGAAAGGCAAAGGAGGCCGCCGAGGCCTTCCGGATTTTTTTCTCACTCCCCTGGCCTTCGACACTTTCTCTTTGGTGCGCGGGTGCATGCGTTGCTGAAGCTTCGGGCTGTTCCCAACGTGCTGCTTGTACGGGTTTGGGACGGAGCTTTTCATGCTTTGGATTCAGGTGCCAATGTCTGAATCTCATTTGTCTGTGGTTGGGCTGATTACAGTTTCGTCCGTAATAGACTCTCAGAATCTCAGAGAGTTTTGCCAACAGATGCTGGCAGCTTGTGAGCCACGTGCCTGAGACGGTGCGTGAGGCAAGAATGAACCTCGCCCGTCCACCCGCTTGATGTGGTGCACGCATACATATGGACAGACGGACGGACAGACAGATAGACAGACTGTCTGTCTCCCGTCAGGAGCTCCGCTTGAGGACATGCCACATCGCCGGCCTGGCAGAGGACACAGATCCTGAATCCATCAGGCAGGGCCGATACTTGCTTTCGGAAGAGCTGGGCAGTCAGGCAATCTAACCTAGTGTGAAAGTGCTAGCTGGTTACATCGGACCCAATGGTGCCTCTGTTTGCTCGACATACAGCGATGAAGCACTAAATGGCAGCCGCTGTCCTTAGACCGCAAAGTGGTCACACCGCCCTTGCCAGGAAGCTGTGCGAAGGCTGGGGCGAGGTGGAAACACTGAGGAGCTGCGTGTTCGAGGGAAGGAAATTTTGGAGCTGAGCTTCACAGAGCATTTCGAAGTGTCAGGCCTAGCAACCAAATCAATGTATGGCTATGGTCTCGAGCAGCATGTCAATGTGCCGTCGGACAGCAGCTTACCGGAGACATGTGTCTTTTCGCGGTGTGCCAGCACATCGGGCGGTTCACGGGTGTTTAAGACTGCCAGCTTGAGGGTCTGATGCAACGTGGGCTGCCTGCGAAGATCTCGAAAGTACACCACGCTCACAAAGCCTTCTGCTAGGCTACAGTCTGCTAGATCGCTTAGTCACAGTCCGGCACACTCTGAGATCCAGCCAGCAGAGTCATGGTCACGAAGTGAGGGAATGCACAGGTATGGTCTTTGTTTTGTGAGAGATTCCTAGATGCTATCGAGGAGGCATGGAAGGAGAATCAGCCGAAGACTTTTTGAGCGGCAGCGTCAAGCTGCCGCCTTGCCAAAAGCCACATGAAGTGCATGTGCTTGCGCGTGGCACATGGCTTGCAGGATAGACAAAAGTGCAGACGGTCCCGGCCTCAGCAGGTCGAACAGCGGCCAAGCCAAAAGGTAGGCTCAGTCTGGCTGTCGTGGTGGGCACACGCCAGTAGCCGAACAGCCGAGCCATGCCGTGCAGTGCCTGAAGTTACTGGGGCCCAGCAGCGCAGTCCATCACGAGCATGCCATTTCGAACGACTTTACCTGTCTTTGTTCGGACTAACAACCCTCCGGCACATGCATGCGGCGCAATCAAAATATGTCTACATGCACATCCGCACACGCAGAAACACTATGTGCGCACGAAGTCCTGTTCGCCGTGTTGCTCAAGGTCAAACCTTCGGCCTCGTTGAGTTCAAGGACTCAACACTCTTTGAATCAACGACAGGGCTTCTGCTACTCAGACCTGGGCTCGCAATTTCGATCGAAGGGAATACTACTTGTAGTATCAACTCCAAAAAACCATCTGGCCGGTTTCCTTCTCACAGGAGACCAAGGTTGCTCATGCGAGGCACTCAGCTTGCACCTTGACCACTGCGACTGCTGTTGTCATGGTGGTGATGATGATGCTGAATGTATAGCAGTGTGGCGATGATTTCGTGCTTTGAGTTCGGCCTTATCCCAAACAGCTCATTCGCGCCGGATGCGAAATGTTGATGTGCTCTGGCTGGTGATCTTTAGGGACCAGTCGCTTTGTTAGAGAGAAGCTTGGTGCCACCTCAGGTTGTAAAGATGCAGCGGTCTTTCCTTGTGGATGACGACCGGGTGCTCGTGTTCACAGAGGCATTGATGTGCCTTCAAGAATGAGAGTTGGCATCTCGCTGCATGAGTGTTTAGGAGTGCAAGTCGTAGCCGACCGACCGCATGTTCAGCGTTTGCAAGCTTCCTCGGGTGCACGATGAACCATAGAGCTTGCAGAAGGCCTCCTGATTTCCGAGAGCCTGAGGCCGTTGCCTTTCAATCCCCCTTTGCGATGACGCTCCCACTTGCCGCCCTCGCCTACTAGTGCATAGCATCTGCAAGATTGCAGGCCTTTCGGATGGCAGTGCCTCCGAAAACAATGATTTCAATGTGTGTTGATGGAGCGTAGCAACCAGAGATCTTAAGTTCTCAGTTGCAGGGCAAAAGGGCAAAGCAAACTGCAAACGGAAGCCTGAAGCCCGAGCAATTGGGCTTTCTTCGGTAATCTTCGGACTCGCAACTGAGGTACCGATCGGGGTTTCTTGTCTGATCTCTCGCAGGCGAAGTCTCATGTGGACAACGCCAAGGTTGAGGAGATGCCATGGCCTCGGCCCGCGAGCGCCCCCCGCGAGCGCCGGCTCGTGCTCTTCCGGGGCCCCATACGTGAGAGACGGAAGACCGGCATTTCTACAGCTTTATGAACTTTCCTTGCATCTTTGCCAGTGCTTGGGAAAGTGGTGAGAGTTCGACATAGTTTGACATGATCCTGCAAGTACACGATACGAAAATCTTCAGATCATTGCGGCCATGTATCAGCTTGCCGTGCTCAGGACTGTGCAGTTCCAGGCTGGGCCCTCCAGGAGTCAGGGAAGGCCTTGCCCAGTTTGGGTAATTGCACCACCGTGGCCCAGATAGTAGCCATAATATCCTAAAACACTTTGCCATATAGAAAATAAGGTGCAATTAGCCAGAATGATGGGGTCGCCCAGTTTGGGTAGTTACATCACCGTCAACCAACTAGTGCTCAATAGTCCCTAAAACGCATTACCATATAGAAATTATCCTATTTATCAGGTGATGTAACTCCCCGAAATGGGCAAGGTTAGGTTTATTCATTTTATGGGGAATAGTATGGTAGTGGCGCGACTTCATCACAAAGAGCTTTTGAAGGTGTGCCATGCATTTTTGCCTGGGCAAGTCCAAGAAGACAAAGCAACATTCCGGTTTTGCATTTCTGCGCATCCTTGTCTTGTGCCCAGCCGAGGGTATTCAAGGGTCAAAAGGTCGCGCACTGCCCCAAAACCCTTTTTCCGCTGCCTTCCCCGAAGAATACTAAACCTCTACCTCTCGTGGCTCGTGGTGCAGCAGGTCCAGAAATAGAGATGGGTGTAGTTCCGCGATGCTCGTCAGTTGAGGTTTCATGGTTTCAGCTGAAACGGCACGTCGTGCATTGTGCTGCAAACTGCATGTGTATCACTCATCAGCAACATCATGAGGACAGTTGTTAAGTAGCACCGTCAACATGAGCGCAGCTGATGCCGCTGACGTGGAGCTGGGCTTAGACGAGGATGCTCCCAAACAGGCATCCATGTGTTGGCTCAACCTGACGTCGAGTTTGCGGCGACAGATTCGACGTCACTGCGTCACCCGCTATTTGGTCGGAGCCGGTGTGGCAAGTTGCGCAGCTTGCTGGTGCATAAGTTACAGAAGTTCAATCGTGAAGGTGGACGAGGTTTACGAGGCAGGTGTTCAGTTCAGAAACAGCAGCAGGGGCATGAAGGGTACCAGAATCAATGCCGTGACGTGTTTACTATTGTTTTCTGTCTGCTTTGACGGAGGCCGTGCCAAATCACACCATTTCTGCAGATGATCGGACATTGAGCAAGATCTCCGAAGTTGGTTTTGTGGCACTTGCTGCTCTCTTCTTTTCATATCGGCAAGTTGTGGAAGCGCGGCGTGCGAATGAAGAAGCGCGCAAGGCAAGCCCTGAGTACAAGATCGAGCAAGCTGTAGACAAGTTCATGCAAAAGTTCCAGCCAACACTGTCCCAAAGTCATATCGTTTGGCGTCCCGTTATCGACAGTATCCGCTGCCGGATACAAAATTGGGAGCAAGATGCCACTCTGGTCAGTGGTCGCCATGGTGCTGGCAAGACCGTGGCAGTTCAAGAAGCTCTTCGTGATATGCGAGGCGCTTTCCAGTTCAACGTCAACGTTGCTGGATGGGATAAAGTCCTTTACGAGGAGCTCGGCATCGAAACCAAATCCATGTTCAAAAATGTCCTAGACGTTGCCGGCGCCAAGCTGCAGAATTTGAATGGCAACCTGACCAAGACTCCTATTTTGCTTCTCGACGTTCCTCGCGAAACCACCGGAGGTGCGGCTGCTTGTGCCTGCAACATGACGCTCAAATTACTGGTCGTAGCCTTGAGGTGGAGATGCCATGAAGTTGGTGTCCACGACTGCAAAGGAGCTCGCCACGGACTCCAAGAAAGCGCATGTTCGGAGCTTGGTCTGGCAACGGTGAGTAGGCAAGAGCCACACTTGCAGGCTTAGGCTTAGACCTCTTCTGCTTGAGGTGCTGATTTGCTGCTCCTCTGCCGGCATCGGCGTTGGCATTTAATGCGGACGACTCGTCGCGTCAAAATGATATTTGGGTAGAAGGAATGAACGGTCAGGAGGCAGAATCTTTGGCGAAGCTACGCTGGAATGATTGGCCCACGATCGAGTGCGCCCCCCGGTCACAACGTGTCTCGTTTAGTGGCAGTTCTTCCCCGCATGTCTCAGTTTGACTCAAGCGACCTGCCTACGATTGGTGGTGAGCCACGATACCGCGCTGCTGATGTAGTTTACATCTCTCGCACGTTGCAGCGCCTTCTTCAACCGTCCGCTATGGTTTCTCTTACTTCAGACAGTCCTGTTACCAGTCACCGGTGTGCCGCATCTGTTTTCAGGCAAGGAACTCCTGGAAATCACGTTCTGGCTGAGCTCAAGCGTCGAGCAACTGAAGACGTGGCAGCCTTTATGGAGCACGACCCGGGTAGGCTGCTGTTAGATGCGCTCATCTCGAACCCAGCAGAAGGCAGCGCTGCATTTTTAAAGAATAGCAAAGTGGTGAAACCCCGTCCGCTTGCAGAATGGATGCGAGCCAACGATGCTCACGCAGTCATTTGGCATCCTCTGCAAAACAAGTTTTTTCTGGAGTCCGGGGGGCTGTGGGAGTGCGCTTTTTTGAAGTTGTCCGATTCTGTATTTGTTGCTAGCTTGCTTTATGCTCGAATTATGTTGGGATAATCCCATATCTTTCTTTCTGGGTAGGCATGGGTCCAGAGGACGCGCCTCTCGCATCAAATTCAACGAGCACCTAATTAGATTGGAAAGCAGTATGCACTCACAGTCCTTAAGGGCCCGTGGCGCAGAAATCTGCGATGAGAGGCAAAATCGAAAAAGGGATCGCCAGATGAACCCAGCAGCCACTTCCAGGGCTAAAAGCTGTCTGGCCAATCCGAGCGCCTCTCATTTGAAAGCACTGACACACGCAACCAGGCTCGGGAGCGTGGACCCTCCAAAAGCGTGACAACAACAACAGCTGGCCCATGAACGACCACGAAGCCAGCAACAAACCTACAGACGACAACAGGGAGAGCTGATCATCAGACTTCCCTGCGGTCCAGCTTTGAGCATTCCTCCAGGGGCTGGGAGAGGCAAGAACAAAGCTAACATGCCCCACACTTCAAAAGAACTGTGCCCACTCAAGCATTCCCAAATGTGCAGTGACAGCGTATGCACATCGAAAAAGCAGAGCCGAAAGGTGTAATGTCACACCTGAGGAGGGTCACACGGCCAACTAGTTGGCAGGTGAGACTTGCCAACTTGCTTCGTATATACACATACATATGTCGAGCACTCTTACGTTCCAGCAAGTTCAAGCTACTCAGGGGGCAATCCGGCAATCGGCTCACCAGTATTCCCCACTGGTGCTCAAGGTAAGCCTTCGCAGCCGTGAAGACCGAGGCAAAAGACATCAACATGAAGTGGATGCGCGGGTTGAACGCATAGCCAAACGTCAAACTCTGAAGGCTGCTGCGTAGCTGGCTGCTCTCCAGGCTCCGGTAGAACACATAGCCAAACGTCAAACTCCGAAGGTTGCTGCGTAGTTGGCTGCTCTCCAGGCTCCGGTTGAACGCGTAGCCAAACGTCAAACTCAGAAGGCTGCTGCGTAGCTGGCTGCTCTCCAGGCTCCGGTAGAACGCGTAGCCGGACGTCAAACTCCGCAGGCCGCTCCGGTTGAACGCATAGCCAAACGTCAAACTCCGCAGGCTGCTGCGTAGTTGGCTGCTCTCCAGGCTCTGGTTGAACGCATAGCCAGACGTCAAACTTCCCAGGTTGCTGGGTAGTTGGCTGCTCTCCAGGCACCGGTTAAACGCAAAGCCAGACGTCAAACACCGCAGGTTGCTGGGTAGTTGGCTCCTCTCCATGCTCCGATAGAACGCATAGCCAAACGTCAAACTCCGCAGGTTGCTGGGCAGTTGGCTGCTCTCCAGGCTCCGGTTAAACGCAAAGCCAGACGTCAAACACCGCAGGTTGCTGGGTAGTTGGCTCCTCTCCATGCTCCGATAGAACGCATAGCCAAACGTCAAACTCCGCAGGTTGCTGGGCAGTTGGCTGCTCTCCAGGCTCCGGTTAAACGCATAGCCAGACGTCAAACTCCGCACGTTGCTGGGTAGTTGGCTGCTCTCTATGCTCCGGTAGAACGCATAGCCAAACGTCAAACTCCGCAGGTTGCTGGGTAGTTGGCTGCTCTCCAGGCTCATGACGTACCGCCTTCCGCTACGCGGCCATGGCATGCGGTACTGGGGCTACCGAGATTCCTCAATGGGCGACTCGAGCCCTAATCCCATATATTGCTTTATACAATCCATCAGAGACTCATTCGTGCTCGCATTCATGTTATGGCTATTTGCTTTGTTGGTTATTTGTCCAGTCTAAGGGTCAAGCGACCAGAGACACGGCCTTGGGAAAGGGATCGGCCTGTAGGAAAAATGCATGTTGCTGATCTTCGTAACGGAAAATGTAAGACTTTTTCGGCACCGTGCAATATCCACTACCACCACTGTTACTAGGGTTTTGCATCATTATAAGTTTAGACTTTAGTACATGTTGTTTACATCACATGATTTGTTTCATTAGTTCTACCGGGCTCATGACACACAAGCATGGTTACTATCATTCTGTTCTATTGTATTATTTGCAAATATGCCATAAATTGCATTCATGTATATGTGTTTGTATATGAATATACATTATATAAATATATGAAGAGTATAGGCACGAATAAATGTATATGCGTATGTCTATATATATATATATGTACACATACAGGTACAGATACATATATATATGTATATATATATATATATATATATACACATGTATGTGTGAAACTGTGCATGATACAGAGCTCGGCATGTCTATGTATATATATGTGTGTGTGTATATATATATATATGTACACTTTGTAAATACAGCGCCTTATATTGATTGACAAATATTGACCTTTCAATGCACATCCATAGATGTATACTCATATGTGTGTGCGGAGCATGTTTGTAGATGTAATACAATTTTTTGATCGTAGTACAACGTTTTGATCTATAAATAATATTTTAGTTGTTCATATTCGTGTATTTAATGTATTAACCATACCCTTTGAAGTTTTGCTATTGTCGGTACGTTTTAAGATGGTAACCGAATATTCAACGCAAATACAGACAGTAACAGCACTAGATACACGATACTTTTCAATACGCACCAAGCCGATGCTCCATAGATTACAAGCAACAAATGTATTGTAAGGTGGCACATACATGTACTTGTCATATTTTAGCTATGGTCATGTTCAGAAGAGCAATCGAATCATAGAAAGCATATTACATGTGGACAAACTGAACATGTAAATCAAATTTCAATTCCTATAGCAGAAAATGTAAATGTGAATTCTCGTATAAACATAATATGCTTTTAAAGCTTAGATTTGTTGTCCAATGTGTTGTATGGATGTGCACCCATTTGTGAAAGCCTAGGTGTTCCAAGTGCATGACTTCATGAAGACACTTATGCACAACAAGATCAGACATGTTCAAGACTCTTAAGTTCGACAATTCCAAACCACTGTTGTAACAGCGAGTATGAAGTTAAAGATGAAACTTCTGTTGGTATCCGATTGTAGTTCTTGAAACTGGTAATAGGTTGCCTACACATTAATGTGGTGATAAGCAAATGAATCACTGTGCAAACAAACGAAGTAAGCTTTTACTTACGAAGGTAAAGAACGTTTAGCATACAACTGTACTGGTATCTTATGTATACATCAGCACAGTTTACACATACATTTCAAAAGCAGGTACTCATACACATTCACTTTGATGTACCTATATATATATATATATATACATTTTTTATGCATACATACATGTTTCGAACGCCGCACACGTATCTATGCGCATCCAAGTTTGTTGGTAGGCTGTGAAGAGCCTATGTGAGATTGAAATGAGATTGCGTAACGCTACCAATTCACAACAATATGATACCGGTACTGTACACTTCATCTTTGGTTTTTTAGCCAAATAATCACAGAAAGTATCGGCGAATTAGTATCTATCTGCATATTTCTGACACGCATTTATTAAGCGCCATATTAACAATAAAAATGGTAGTTACTGTTAAATGTTCTTGAACTCCGTTTGTTTTACAGTGTAAACAAACGGAGTTCAACAAATAATTGATCGCTGTATCCCGCAGACGCCGAGTAGCCCACAAGAGTGACAATGTTACAGCTTGAAACTAGACCGACTACAGTACTCACACGTATACATGTGCATTGTCTACGAACCTTGCCGTGAGAGTGCATTGCACCCCTGTGTGTGCCACCGACCCTAGGCGCGCGCGCGCGTATTTTCATGGTATTTGTTTGGGTTTGCAGTCACCTCCAACAAAAAAGCAAAATAACCAAAAGAACCCAAAAAAAGAAAATAACCAAAAAAACAAAATAACTAAAAGAACCAAAAAAAGCAAAAGAACCAAAAAAAACAAAAAAACAAAAAAGAACAAAAATCTGACACTCTCCGGCCATGGAAATTCCAGTCCAGGAGTCTCTGGCAATTTGTTTTTTTGGTTGTTTTGGTTCTTTTGTTTCTTTTGGTTCTTTTGTTTTTTTGGTTCTTTTGTTTTTTTTGTGTTTTTGGTTTTTTAAGGTTGTTTGTGTTATTTTGGTTCTTTTGCGGTGTCATTTGCAGCAAAACTCCGTTATTGCAGGGAGCGTACCTCTCTCATTAAATATTGAGTAGCTGATGCTAAAACTAACGCTAAAACTCCTGGAGAAGTGCACTCCCAGGGTCCCCCGTTCTGTTTTTTTTGCTTCCCAGCTTCACCTGGAAGCTGCCGAGTCTCTCTTGCCGAAAGACCAGTGAATCTACGTACAGCAACAAGTGTCACCGTGCTACCAAAATGTGTTGGACCATCGCTACTTGAGCTGTGAGCCGGTTTGCGTTTTGACAAAAGCAACTTAAGGGATGGATCTTCGAATCGAACCTACCCAGTCTTGAAGTTACACCTTTGAACCTT